TGTGGATTACTGACACCTTTACTGTATTATCTTCATATTTATGAACTTGGAATGTTACTTTATTCATGTCAGTCTTTTTTGTTGTTGTTGTTCAATAAAAATTCTCTCTTGCTCCCAAGTACCACGATTCAAATAAATCAAATCACAATATAGGATATGGGAGTCAACACTTAAAAACAGTGATTTCCACCCCAAACCCCCTTCATCCAGAGACATCTTAGGAGTGTGTGTGTGGGCGGGGCAAGCTGTGCAGAGATACTCAGCTCAACCAAAGTTCCCAGAGTCAACCAGCAGGTGCTGGCAACAACACAGATCAAAACCCTTACTGGGAAGAACAGACATGGGGATCCATTCAGGAAAATAAATTGGCATTACATAAAATTGCTAGTCTTTCTTACCAACCAATAGTTCTATTCCTGCATCTATTGGTTTGAAATGCAATCCGGACCATACCATCCAGCATGATAGTTTCTAATGAACATCTAAAATGAAATAGAATTTGAAGTCCAGTTCTGCCACACTAGTTGTGGCCCAGACTCCAATATTCAGGCATCCCCGAGGCTGTGGTGTCAGGCAGCTCACAGGGTGCTCCTGTTAGAACACTACCAGATGGCGCTCCTAGACAATTTCTTCTTTGTTGCCTTTAAAAAAATTATTTTTATTGATTTGAAAATTTCATACAATGAAAATTTCCCACCTCCTAGAGAATTTTTTGAGCAGAAAAAACAACAGATTGTTTATGGTAGTACTGGATAACACAAAAAAGAGACAATTCTGATGTCTCCAGTAAAACTTCACATATGTATAAAACCGACAACAATTTAGTAATGAATGACAGCTATGTATATCTATATGTGTACATGAAAAAATATCTGCAAGTGGCAAAAGGAAGTCATATAAGAAAACATAACATTTCAACTGATACATGTTAAACTAGACAAACCTGACATACAGCTTTTAAAATATTTTATTATCACCTGGTGTTTGAGATAATGTGATAAAGGCTTGGTAATTTCGGATAGATAGCAAGATTAACGTCATGATCTTCATGTAGATTCAGGAAGAGAGAGTTCAAGAACCTAGATCCATGTTCAAAGATGCCTTAACTTCAATGGCCTCGTGCCAGTCGGGTTATATTTACTGACCACATTGTTCACAGTCTGACCACTACTCACAGGAACAGCAGCGTTCATAAAGATGCTATCCAGTGGACCTAACCTTTATTGGATTGAACCACAAGTCCTCTGATAATCCAGAGAGGGCCAGTGTTTAGGAGTCTTTGGGCTTGCACAGCTACAGAACTAAAAGCAGAACATTTTGCCCAGGTTGAAAAGCATGGCATATAATTGGTACTTCGTTTTCCTAAAACAACTAGATAAAACTTTTATACACTTGGCTTGGCAGCAGAATGATATTCAGCTCATGAGGAATGAATTATAACACATTCCAAATGAGTGGGACCTTATAGCCAAACTGTAAGGGATCCAGGATCCAGAAGAGAGTGGAAGTTCATGTTTCCTCTCTGCATATGTTCTGCCTCCTTCCTCGTCCATGAAGCACAGATGTGGTGTTTAAGGACATTTAGTAAGCAAGGTGATAGAGGTAGTGAGATGTGATTGTGGTCATTTTCCTAGCATATCTTTTAAAAAATTGCATCGATTTTTTGAGACTTTGGTTTAAAAAAAATTTACTTACTATTTTTAAGTGTATAAATGTCTTACCTGCATGCATACTTGTAAGTGCACCCACGCAGTGCAATGCCTGCAGAGGTCAGAGGAGGGCGTTGGAGTCCCTGAAACTGGAGCTATGGATGGCTGTTAGCTGCCATGTGGGTGCTGGGAATCGAACTTGGGTCCGAAGTTTTGACATTTTCATACAGTATAATTTGATGATATTTAGATCCCCTCTACTATGTACACCTCCCTTTACTTCCCCCTGCCCAATTTAATATACATACACACACACACACATATATATATTATATAGAGCATTATTTGCGCCCAGTTTAATATACTTACACACACATATATAGAGTGTGATTTGTGTTGCCCTGTGTCCTTCAGTGTGGATCTCTTCACTGGGCCCACCAAGAGTCCTGGCCTTATAAGACACTGTCTTTTCCCCTCCCAGCAGTGATCTGTTGCCAACAGTTCCTTAGGTTATGCTGGGATTTCTTACCCTCTTTTCCATGTCTATGCTGGGATTTTTGTCTGGTTTGAGCTTGCATGAGATTTGTGCATGCTGTCACCATGGCTACGAGTTAATGCAAGTAACTGACCAGCTGTCTGGAAAACTCTATTTCCTTGTGGTCATCCACCACTTCTATAGAAGCTTCTTAAAGTATATACATATACATTATAAAAAGAAATTAAAAGGAGTTACCTTATAACAGGGAGTTATTGTCCCTACTAGACATCATAGGCTAACAAAATCAAACTTCAATGTTAGGAATGTACTCCTTCTCTACAAGTTGTTGGTCAGGGATCCTATGGACCCTCAAACAATACTGGCCATTGCCCCTCCTCTTGGTTGCCCATCAGAACTTCCCCAGTAAGATCTTATTGCTGAAGACACTACATATATGAGCTGGAGAACAAACAAGGAGAAATCAAGCTGGTGCTGACTTTAGAGCCTCACCACTATTGGCTGGCTTTTGTAGTGCTGGAAGGTGAAGAAAAAAATAATCATTAACCTTACCCAACTGTGAATCCTATGAACTACAACAACTGGCCTGGCAAGATATGCCCACTGGCGCAATAGTGGCACAAATATTATGGGAGTAACCAACCACTCTCTACTTGGACTTCGGGTCTGCTTCCTAGGATGGAATCCATACCTGCATTCATAAGAGGTTTAGGAATCTGAGGCTGGACAGGTCATAGGGCATAGGAGAGATTCTAACACTAGTTTTCTACAAAATAGTATTAAACTGATTCCTAGTGACTTAGTATATCAAACTTCTGCCTCCCATGGCTCAGGAATTATTGCAGAAGTGGGGGTGGTGGTGACAGAAAGAGTGTTAAAGCCTAGTCTATCTTTTAATCAGCTAAAGACATAAACATTTTGGTGGAGAAATGGTCCAAATGTCTAACTCAGTAGCTTCTCTGCCATCAGATATGGGGAAGCCAGTGAGATCTCTATTGCATGTTTTTTTTTTTGCCTGAGGTATGATGAGCTAGAGTTCTGCACTGTGGGGTTTGTGTCTGTCCTCTGACCTTTGAAATGGGTGCACCCTGGGAGTTGGAGTGCAGCCACTTGCTGTGCTGCCTTGGGGCAGCTGTGCACACATGCCTACCATTCAGAGTTTTGGAGTGTGCGTTGACATGTGTGTATGTGAAGATAAGCAGGTGCTTGTTCTGGTCAGCACACGATACAGAGGCCTTGCTGGCATGCCTTCAGAGACCTTGTGTTAAAGTGTGTTACCTACAGAGTGGGCCATGGCTTTGAGACTTTTATTCATTTGCGAGCCTTTTGGGGTGCGGTCTATTTCCAATCTGTAATTGCCTTTTTGCTACATGAGCAGAAACATTAATCAAAACATTGAATTAAAATCAACTGCCAGACAAGTGGACAGTAAGCAGCTTCTAAGCAAGATGAAACTTACCATAGCAGCTCAAAAAAAAAAAAAAAACCCAAAAAACAAACAAACAAAAACCCAGTAAAATCCTACATACTAGGAAGATGAGAAAGGTGATTTGAAACATGTGGAATGGAGTGAAAATAGAAAATGGAGATGGTGTAGCTAACCTATTAGGGCAAGTGTGGAAAAATTTAACCAAGAAACTAAGTATTCCAGTGTACCAAATATTTAGGCACAATTCTCAGAGCATTGCCCAAAGCTGCCTGGGTAGTTGTATAGGGAACACATTGAGCAGTCCAAGAGAGTCCAGTATTGCTGGCTGTGCAGGAAGTTACCCCCTGGAGCTGGCTATAGAGTCACTAGGACAGCATCATGCTTGCTAGTGCCACAAATTAATGTGGACAGTATGATCCAGGTTCGTTGTTTCTAAACCAGACATTCAATCAATTCTATCAGGTATTTTTTCCTGCCATACCAAGATATTTGGCATTCTTCATCTGCTGAGTAACGCTGTTTGTCAAGCTCCTGGTGAAGCTTGTGATTTTGTCTTGGGAATGAACTTGCAGAGTTTTTAGTCATATAAGTAACTGGTATCAGAAGCACAGGACCTGAAGTCTACATCCTGGACTCCCTGTCCAGTCCTCGCTGATTGTCTGGTTCAGGACTGGGCTGAGGTTTAGTTAGTACTGCTACCCATACCTGATGTAATGGATTAGTGGTTACTCCAACTAAGATCTTTTCTACAAGAATCAGTCTACCTGGTTTAACCACAGTATCTCCACTGGGTAGCTCAGTGACTTTCAGCGAGTTATGGAACCTCAGTGGTCTATGCAGATATTGAGAGTGAAAACAGAGTTATGAGACAAAAGGCATTAGATGATGACAAATGCTCAACACAGTGCCACATTCTGACACTATAGTTATCAGGCACCCGTGTTATTTAAGCCTGATCAAATCTGGAGGAAAAGGCTATTGACCATGAAGCCTATTCTTCCTTGCCTCTAAAAATTTTATATAAATCATTTATATCTATTTAATTTGAAACTGTTGGCTATTTAGTCCCTCTTCAGAAATGTAAACCCTGATCACTTGAGTCAATATACATCACCATTAATGTGCATTGTGTTGATTCTTAGTATCTATCGTACACATGTGTAAAACTGAACCCTATAAACACAGAATCCAGACATTCCTACCAAAAGGAAGTGAAATGAAAGGAAGAGTAGCAGAGACTTTGCAAAGACAAAATTGTCCTATCTCTCACCAGTGTCAGAATGTGGAAATGTTTACAAAATGCTCATTAAGAGAAAAAGGGATTGCAAGATAGAAACAAAATCTGGTGTACAAGTTTACACTAGGGAGATAAGAAAGGCCCTATAGGGGATTTCGTTACCCAATTATTGCAACCTGACTTTTGGTGGGGGAGTAGAGTGGTAGGGGGAGGGGGAGAGAGGGGAAGAATTTCCATACTTGTGTTCAGTGACACAAGACATTGACACCCTGCAAGATAAAACTGCCACTTAGAGCCCAGGGGAGTTAAACCTTCCTGGGTTGGCCTGGGGGCTTGAGCAGAGTCATGGGTTCTCTGGTCCTTAGGCTGAGCGCTGTCTTCTGCCTGGTGGTTCACTCTGTTTCTGGCAGGCCCATCATGGGCCTTGAGCAGTCGCCTCTAGAAGAAGACATGCCGTTCTTCGATGATGTCTTCACAGAGCAAGATGGTGTCGACTTCAACACGCTGCTGCAGAGCATGAAGGATGAGTTTCTCAAGACACTGAACCTGTCAGACATTCCTCTGCAGAACTCAGCCAAGGTAGACCCGCCAGAGTACATGCTGGAACTCTACAACAAATTCTCTATGGACAGGACCTCCATGCCGTCTGCCAACATCATCCGGAGTTTCAAGAATGAAGGTGGGTTTGCATTTTCACTGACAGAACTTTGGCTTGGATTTTTCTCAGGAAGAAACAAGTGAATTTACAATGTGTGGGGATGATGTACATAAGGGTGAGTTTATGGAAGGGCCTGGAACTCAGATAAAATGGCATTCTATTCTTACTCTGTGGTCCTCTGAGAACTCCAAATATACTTTAAAACGTGTAGCACAGAGCTACAAAACACCCATTATTCTGACATGATAATGGAGTCTTGATAGCTTTTTTAATGTGGACATGAAGTAATAAAAAATTAGTATTGATCTGTTAATTTGTTGCTCTGTCTTGGGTTTTAGTTGATGCCAAAAACCTGTCAACTTTTACTTAGAACAAAAATGGTGAAAACAATAAAAACATCAGAAATTTAGAATTTGTGGTTTGTTCAAATGTTAGGTGAGTTTTTATTATGTGACTTCATTTAACAAATATTCCTACAGAACATATTTTGGAGATTCTGCTAAAGCTACATTGTGTTTGATGAGTCGTGTTCCCACTCAGAGGACTGCCTATAATAAGCTCCCAGGAAGTGTGCAGGACCTAGTTAATGATCCAGCTTATTGCAACTGTTTTTGTAAAGAGTAATGCACAAACTTCATCATTCCTTCCCCTCAGATTTTTAAATTTGGCAATTAGATCTAATGAACTAGTAAGTTTATCCTATGTGGCACTAGTTAAAAAAAATCTAGTGTCACTGGTAGAGGCTGTGGATTCAAAGAAACTAATTCTTTAATATTTAGTAACTGTGTTTTTACAATCATTAGAAATGTAAATGGGTTTTGACCAATATTTTCCAGGCATTCTTTAAAGCATAAGGAAGTCCTAAAGAAATAACTCAGGATTTGGATTTTTGAGAGCTGAATGAAATTAGAAAGCTGTGAATTACTAGTTTAAGTGATTGGATCCTCAATTCCTTCTGTGAAATAGAAGTAACAGTATCTACATAACACAGATGAGTGAATCTTAAGTATTTATAGGTAAGAAAGAATTCATTTATGAGGAAGTAATGAATAAACTATGATGATTGTTAATAAATTAATATTGTAGGCACTAGAAAAAATGTTGAGCGGGTATTCCTTAGACAATATTTCTATTCAATAACATAGTTTTAGGAGAAATGGCAAGCTGATCTTTCAGATTCCTTTGGAGGCAAGTCTGAGAGGAAAATGAACAACCTCCTGCAGGAAGCTGACCTCAGCTTCCAGTCCTGAGCCGCTGTGTAGCTCAGGCACGGTAGGAGTGCTTTCCCTCACTCTCCCTTCTCCCTTCTGTGGAGGAGCTCATGATCAAGGTTAAGGTGTGGAGGCAACCAAGCTTACTGTTAGTGGAGATCTATGAGGGAGGAGCAGACTTCGTGGCACCCAACCCTGTACCTCCACCAGCCTAGAGGAAGAATTGCGAGGCAGGGGATAGGTGTCCTCTCACTGGACTTCCCCTGCTGGCCACTGCCATCTGTCTTCAGGCCCTTTGTGTCTGCTCGATGCAGTGTCCTAGATGATAAAGACCAAAATGACTCCAGACCTAATTCTATCAGGGGACCAGAGTCACATGCAAGGTGGAAAGCATGTCTTTAATTCTTAGCCTGGCCCCCACGCATCCGTCTCTCCTGGGAAGTCAGGTTTTACACAGCTTTGATTTCTTCTGGTGCAAAATGAGCAGAGGATCCATGTGAGCATTTACAGAGGGGTCATTGTGATGGGCACACAGGACTGTTTGTAGAGCACCTGACGTGAA